ATGTAACACCTACATCTGTCTTCATTGATCACCCACCAAACGAGGGACACTTCAATCAACACATGACAATTCCAATCCATAAATAAGAGATAATATTCCACCCGTCTATATTTGTCCATAAATTAAGTAACTCAGAAATATTGAAAGGTCCGATACATAATATATGTACATACTGCAGCCATTTTTATTGCAGATTATAAGATTGGGTAATTTTACTCTAGGGTTGTCGGATGACGCACTTGCCTTTCACCAAAGGTGGCCGGGGTTCAATTCCCCAATCAGAAGTGAAAGGCATGGAGTGACAACCTGCCCAACCTCTGGTCATTCCAGTTTCCTCCCACATTACGACCCGCTAACATTTAGGCCAACAGAGTGATTAGTATTAGTTGAAACAACTTATTCCATAATTGTTGTAAAATAATTAAAGTTTATTTATGGAAAATTTCATATATTTATACTCAAGGGGGGCTATTATATATATACTGCAGAAAAAAGTGACAACTGGTATTCTAGTTAGTAAATAGCACAAAGCTAAATTCTGTGATTTCATTTCAACAAATTTCATTGTTTAGAAAACAAATGGATTGGACAACGGGAAAGCCTATATATATATGTCCTCTCCAATCATTTTGTGATTGATAAAATGATCAAAAAGATATAACATCACATATTTACCTAATCAGGTCTTATACCTAGTTTAGGATCTGCTGCGCACATCGTCTATGAGGGGCCTTAACTCTTTCACCCCTATGTAAGTTTAGTAGACTCTACGATGCACGGATCTGGATGAGTCCATTATGGTCTACAGTGGTGAAAGGGTTAAGAATGGTATTTTATATTTTATTTCAAACCCACTGAATAATGTACTTTTATCAATGAGTGCAGGAAATACAACCTGTAACAGGGACTAATTTATTGGGGCAGACAAGACACGAAGGACATGTGTGAATTTGTTGTTTATGCCCACGAATTAAGTATCGAGTCAAAGGGTGGGGATCTCAACTCTCTCCATTTTATGACCCAGGAAGCAAGACCTCGGGGCCATCAGAGCTTATCCCAGTAGCTTGTGTGTATTTTATCTCTTCATGGCAAGCTATTGCATCATCTCTGGTCATGGGGGAGATATCTCAACTGTTTCTGTTATGACTAAACGAAAGCCCCCTGGGGAGGGGCTGGACCCCAGAGACAATCCTTGTAGCACTCTCACAAATTTATTCATTTATTCAAGCCTAGCAATACTGTATGTATGGTCATGATATGTATATATACACGTCACCTAAAAGTACACCTAAGTCAAGGTCATTCTTGATTACAGACTGTCTAGCTCCGAGGTCATTCTTGACCACAGACCATATCATGTCTCTTGGCTTTCAGTTCTTCAGAAGAAGTTGTCTGAAGTTGTTCACATTATGGACGCCTGTGTCCTTGAAATTAGATCAATGGTCAATTTGTTCGCAAACTTTGTCGGGTTCGATCCTTAGCAGGAACCAGTGAAATATCATGACTGCAGACATTTCAGTTCTTCTGAAAAAGTTTTTTTCTTCAGGAAAAGTTTTTTGATGACGAAAAGCTAACAAATACTTTAGACAGTGAGGTAGATATTGCAAAACTATTCTCTCTAAAAATTTAATTCATGTAGGTCAAAAGCAACTGTTCCAAATTTCTTGCATTTTATAATAGAGCAAGGATAATCATGGAGGGGGGCCGTAGGGCCACTGCACGACCCCTCAAAACTGAAATTGACTTGTCCAGGGCCACTGACCCCTCAAAAAAAATTTCATAAAATGGCCTCTGTTAATTCTGACATTGACTGAAAATAGCGGAAATGACCCACTGCTCTCTCAACCTCCAGGATTGTCCCTGTGAGAGTGGTGATTGACAGGTGTGATATACAAGTGACAAAACAAGTAAGACATGGTTGTGTCAATGTATCAGATCTGTCCTGTAATATATATATAATTACAAAGTCATTTTTTTCAAATTTCATGAGCTGATTGGTCAAGTAGTTTACACTCCAGCCTTCCACGCAAGTGGCAGGGGTTCGATCCCCGAAGTCGTCATATACAAGTATATTCAGAGAAAATGTTTTTCTCCTGCCCACACAACTCCAACAACCCGGTGGAGTATACAACAGTCTGGGGTGGATGTTGCTGTATCTGTGCTGTAGCATTCAAGTGAGGTGGCACTTTAAATGATGCCATTGGAAGCACGATCCCATTACAAACAGATCTAGAACACATTACATCTCCAGCACACACGCATAGGGAGATATTAGCCAGGTGGCATAGAACTAGTAGTTAGTGCCTGATAAGGCAGCTCCTGTGAATTCCTCAAAAATTGTATTGATTAATGTATATATTCTAATTGTATTGATTGTACATCTATGTACTGTAAAGCACTTTAGAGGGGCTTATGTTAGCTAGATAGGGCGCTATAGTAAATGTATATTATTATTATTATAAATTTTATGGCGTCAACAGTTGCACATCAGAACAGATCCAAAACTGGTTCATCACAATGTAGTAGTCTTCAGCTGGAGATCTACATTAACTCATTCACCCCTGAACTTTCATAATGAACTATTCCAACCTTTGAATTGGAAGAGTTCAAATGTGTCTTCAGGGGTGTTTGAGTTAATATGAATTTTTATAATTATTGAATAAATTACAGAACAGTTCAACTCCGATAGATACTGTACAGCAGGTACACGTTGATCAGCATACCGACATGTACAGGTGTGTATGCATGTAATAAACGACCGATATGTACATCATGAATATATATATTCATAAGGGGATCAAACCACTTTGTGTACAAACATATGTTATAATGATGCACAGTCGTAGCTGGATTGATATTTACCGTCGGAATAATAAAATAATAAAGATGAAATTCAATTGTTGAATTTTACAAAAGAACATCAGAAAAAAACAAAATCGGATACCATCTTTACTTGTTATATCTTCTCATTCACGATACATTTTTTATGAAATATTTTTGTACTTTTGAACGTTATTCCCAGGATTTGGGTCATAAACTTGACTGAATACTGAGAACACCGCAATCTGCACAAAAATATTAAACAACCGAATATGAAACTGATAAACAAAGTCATTAACTAATTCACCCCTGAAATTTCATAATGAACTATCCCAACCTTTGAATTGGGAGGAGTTCAAATGCATCTGCAGGGGTGACAGAGTTATGCCAACAGTCACCTCATCTGCACTATCTAAATAGAAAATCTGCAGCTTTCAAGTTTGAATGCATTTAATACAGAGTCCTGTTTTGATTGCGATTGGTCAATACCAACCGCGTTATTTCACACTGTGACACGAATCACTTCTGATTGGACATCAGTGTGAAAGATATGAGTTCCATCAAGTTGATAGAAATGATTTTCTTAATATCTAAAAATCGAAAATATTGATGTTTCTTTCATCAATCATAAAATCTCGGATGTAATCGTTTTTACTGAACAAACATTTTATCATAATAATATTTAGAATTTTTAATAGTATAATCATATGATAACCTAGATTGCTAATTCATATTTACGGGACGAATATTATATAAACTATTAAATCCTGCTATAAAGATATAATCATAAATGTATGTTTGTATTGAACGAATATTTCATCGTAACATAATACAGTGATAATAAATTATCAATCTCGGCGTAATTCTTCCGTGCAAACACAATCAAAACAGAGGTGTCTTTGTGTCTCCAGCCTCGCAGAGGGAAAGAGCATTCACCATCACCGTAACAAGGAGAGCACCAACGCTCATCTCCTAGTTACCAGTAGTATAACAGATAAAATTGATTTTTTTGCACACTCCCTCAGTATTGTAGAATGTGTGTGTTTTCTAAGCAAAATCTAAAAATAGACATCTCCTACAAAAAATCAATATATTTACACCATGTTCCTACTGATTCTTCAATTACCACCAAAATCTGCCAACCAGAAAATCCGCTACAAAGTATTTTGAAATATGTGTACGAGTTCAGGCTAACGTGACCTGGTATAGCCAACACACATCAACAAAGTAACACAATACGTCGACATACATCGCATCACAACACTAAGATGCTTTCACTTCAAAAAAATCACAAATGTTTAAAAATCGCTCTCAACAAAAATAAACAACAATTAAATCGTTACAGAACTCGGCCATGCCTTTCATTTCACACCCAACTATACACCAACAGTACTGGCGATTTTCAGTTTTTTCCAAAATGGCTTCCCGTGCTAAGCGGGTCATTCGAGGGTATCCTGCTATTCCCTAACCTTGCCCGAACCATTCTGACCCAGAAAATATCACTCGGCAAAACACAATAGACCTAGCGTCTTCCGACGGCTCCTATCCCCCACCGACAGATTCTACAGCACTGAAATACTTGACAAGGGTTTCTTAGAATGATTCTCGATATAATTTACACACAGGGCAATATTTTTATTAATGAGGAGATGGTCAAATCGGCCGGTTTCGTTGCAATACACACACACGGTAGTTCAGTGTATTGTATACACACGTGTCGCTCGATGCATTTTTCATGTTAAAACATACACGCGAGATTGTTTACATTTCATTACACATCTGAAAATCAATATAATAAACAATACACGTAGATACACTTAATTCTAGAATCAAAACAATGAGGATATCATCGCTACGTAACCTACATATTACTCATTTTTTTCGCCCGTCGAGTACAATACACATATATACAAGCGCTTGTAAAGTGGGTAAAAAAAATCAAAACAAACGCCGAACGACATCTAATACATCTAACAACACAATATCGACGGGTTTATGGGCATGATTGTAAGATCACAGTAACAACACGATTGCAGAATGGACGAACAAGTCGGTGGTCAATGGGAGCCTTACTAAAGGTTATCCTTCTCCCCGTCCCTCGACCGACATGTTGTTTTTGTAACATAGGTCACGTCCACAGAGCTAACGCCAAACTCTCAACAAGAAACATGGGTACTTACCTTGAACGGGCAAATCCAGCACTATGATCGTAAACACAGACACAAGATATAAAAGTGGGGACGCCATATATGAAGAAACATGAGGAAAATATTCACGGTAAACCAAGCCCGAACCTTAATACATTAGAATTGCTCAGAGAATGAATGTGATCGCTGAACCGTGTTACATTCTCGTAAACTAGGGCCGATCATTCGAGCGCGCTAGCATGGCGGTCCAACGGATATCTCTGGTAACAGAAAGGACATCCTTCCGAATTATCACAGTGTCCGAACGAATAAAAATGGAACCCCAAGAAAGAGAATATTTTTTTTGTTATCATTGTCGATTTCTTTTGCATTGGGCATGCGCCACTTTTAAATTATCGCAAGATGGAGGTCGGAGTTTTCTAGGGCGGTTGTACAATAACTGGAATGGCTCTGGCAAACACGAGGTCAAAGTGGGGTGCTTATTCCCGCGAAAATGTCAGCAAAAACCATGACTCTATCATTGATAACGCTATATTTATTTGACCACGAGGATATGTAAACAGATAGCTTTGTTTACAAACAGGAAAGAGTTATTAATATCATAAAAATATGTATATTGAATTGTATGATGACAGCCGTATCATAACCGACATGTAAAATAACTCATTCATTCACACATTTTTTTTAACGTTTAGAAATATTTCTGCGAACGACCTGTGTTCAACTGACGCTTGATACGACACAGATCATGGTGTCAGCTTGAAGGCGTATATGTGTATAAATTAGCAAGACTGTTAAGCATAATTTATAGCACGAATATAGATTATAATTTCTCATAAGTATCATGTTCTGATACCAACGAAAACTAAGTGCAATTATCGGGGCTGAAGAGAGGGGTTATCTTTGAAAAGATCTCAGGTAGTCTTCCAGCACGTGTTTGGTTTACCGTAAGAGATTAGATAGAGATAGCAGTGACCGTGATTGTAAACAATCACAATAACAACATATTAGTGTTGGACGTTTTGTGAATGGTAGTCGATTGATTAACTTCAATAATTATAATTCCATCCGGCAAAAAAACAAAACACTTTAAGAATTTGAATATCATTAATTAAATCCGGCAATAGAAAATCGCTTTATTTGAGAATGAATGTTTTTTTAATTCTCGTAATATATTATTATATTTGAACAATGTATTATTTTATGTTACTTTGTAAGGAGGACAATAATTACAGAAAACGTAAAAGTAACTTTTATTGAGAATGAGTATGTGCCAAACATTGTTGATATTTTCAACAATGTTCAACTACAGTAACAATATGTTGATGTATTATTAAAAGTACAAATTGATCCTTGTGCTCAACACCATGGCTCTACGGTACATTGTCGCGGGTGTGGATGGGGGTATCGGTGCAGGTGTGTGTGAGAAGGGAGGGGGTTGAACGTGTGTAACTCGTGTAGGTGGTATGTTATGCTAGATGAGATGACCTTATAATGACCTTATAATGTTTGTTTACTTTCTAATTATTCTAAAAAAATATATAAAAAATAACAACAAATCTTTAAAATATGTCTGACCAACGATATCAGATGTCAATTATTGCTTATTAAAAGCACCCCCACCTCACTATTTTCTTCTTTCTTTCTTTTTCCACGTCGCCTAATTCCGGCGTGGTTGTGCACTGCATAATCTTTTTGAAACAAACAAATTAACATTCTTCTTACAATATTCCATTCTACTTATTAATTATCTACTTCAACAAATTGAAGCCATGTAACGAATTGCTGTGACACGAAAAAAAGACTAAAAAAACAAATACATGGTGGTGAAACTAGAGCGTTGTTTCGTTGATTTGGAGGACTGTACGAACGGAGAACGTATATAGGGATTATTCACTTGTGATGCTAATTAATAATCATCATCATTATCATATAATATCATTTCCGCTCCCCGGTGACCTTTTACCCCTACCCCCTTCTCTTGTCGTCACCCAGGGGCTATCTAAGACTCAAAACAACCCATCACCTCATCTCCACCCATCCCCGTAACCCAGGGGCTATCTTAGACTCAAAACAACCCATCACCTCATCTCCACCCATCCCCGTCACACAGGGGCTATCTTAGACTCAAAACAACCAATCACCCCCATCTCCACCCATTCCCGTCACCCACGGGCTGTCTTAGACTCCAAACCACCATCATCCCATCTCCAACTATCCCCGTCACCCAGGGACTATCTTAGACTCCAAACAACCCATCACCTCATATCCACCTATCCCCGTAACCCAGGGGCTATCTTAGACTCATCACCTCATCTCCACCCATCCCCGTCACACAGGGGCTATCTTATACTCAAAACAACCAATCACCCCATCTCCACCCATCCCCGTCACCGACGGGCTATCATTGACTCCAAACCACCATCATCCCATCTCCACCATCCCCGTCACCCTGGGGCTATCCTAGACTCCAAACCACCATTATCCCATCTCCACCTATCCTCGTCACCCAATGGGCTAACCTAGACTCCAAACCACCCTTCGTCCCATCTCCACCTATCCCCGTCACCCTGGTGCTATTCTAGACTCCACCACCAACCCTGTTGCTTTGACAACACTCGGGGGCCTACCTGTTTTCACCACCGAGCACCCCGACTCCATCTCAGCTCGTCATTGCCGCCAAACAGAGTTTCCAAAACCCTACCCCCAACCATCACCCCGACCCCAACCTTTCACGCCACCCAAAGCCTAGCACACACACCATCCCTATACCCTGCTGTTTCCCGTCAGTAAGGGGCTTTCTCAGACCCTATAACCACCCTCCCACCGTTCGACGTTCACCCTTTATTCCATCCTCGTCCACCGCCATTAGCCCGGAGGTGGTGAGTTGACAAGACGCATCCGGGATCGAAAGCATACCTGGCAATTAACACCTTATCTAACTTGATGCACGTGGTTTATAACACCTGATGTAGCGTTTAATACACCTGGTAATTAACACCTGGGAAAACTGTCGTACCTGATTTATTAATTAGCACCTGGACGGTAAATTACATAGGCAAATAACAATAACAATAAGGGCGTGTAATGTACCTCACAAATAACACCTGGGGAAATTGATGTCCACGAGAGAGCGCGCGGCCAGGTACGATAACACTTAACATCTTCTACTGTTATCTGGGTAAACAACAACATATACCGTTAATCATTTCCATCTACCTGGCCAAATTTTGTAGGACCCGAGTTGACCAATGATACATGTTACATTAGTGTCACTGGAAAACGACATCTCGACCACATAAAAATACAAGCGGTCACGAATGCATTTAATTCATTCAAAAGTTCACTATTTTGATGTATTCAGAGGTGTATGCATTCATTACTACCTCAAATCTTCAATATTTCTCATTATTAGTTTAGTTTAAACATATTAATTGCCAAAAGTAGACAAAGGGATCAGGCGCACGTTATTACAACTTATCAACGGCTTCTCTCATTATTAATATAATGATTCAACACACAAACCTGTAAGTGAAGTGGTACGTGAACAATACGTTTTCCCCATTATTCCCAGTAACAAATATAAATATTGCCCAAGATTTCACATTTCTTTCATAGAATTCGTACTCAGTAATTTCTGTACTTAAACAGAAAACTGGCATTTCTGTGATGAATTTAAGTCATAGTAATGAATACACGGAAACTGTCAAATAAATCAGTACTTAATTCCCGAGGTCACCAGAATTAAAATGACGACATGATCGTCAGAGATCAGATGCGTAGTTCGTAGGTCGTCTCAAAGCGATTCACAACCTAGTTCGCAGGTCGTCTCAAAGCGATTCACAAATTATTATCCGTGGTTATAGGGCCTTTGCAACCAGCAAATATCTTTCTCAACTCCCTGGGTAGTATACAGCCGGTGCTGCCATTTCGGCGCTCACAGCTAGCATTCAACAATTCTACCACTGCCCAACCACGTACTCGGTCACAGTGCCGTGACGTGTCTCGAACCCGTAACCCTTCGGTCACGAGCCCGGCGTTCTACCACTAGACGAACGTGCCTCCACCATTTTTACATTTATTTTACATTTGACCTAGAGGTGAAGGTCACGGTGACCTAAATATAGTTCACTGCAATCTGTGGGCGTTGCAGTTACTGTTTCAGTATCATCGTATCTTTAATGGTTTTAAATCTACATATCAGACGAGATTTCATAAAACATTGTACTTATTTGACCTTTGACCCGGAGCCGAAGGTCTGCAGTGTGAAAACATGACCGAGGCTGATGCAGGAACGTTTCAGGTTTCATCACAATATCTTTTATAGTTCAAAATTTTTGGCTAAAACACGATTTGTTTTCTCTGTAAGTTTTACATTTTTTTCTTTTTTGACCTTGAGGTCAAGGTCATGACGAATTAATAAGAGTGACGACGATGCAGGTATACTTCAAGTTTCGTCAATACATCTTCAACAGTTTAAAATTTACATCTTGGAAGCTACCTCACAAAAGTGTACTTATTTGACCTTTAACCTAGAGGTGAGGTCATGATGACCTAATTACAGTACACTGCAACCTCCTGTGACTGACGTAGGTAAACTAAATCACCGAGATATATCTTATCACAAAATGTACTGTGTTATCCTATGAATATACCCTTGTCATATTTTTTACGTATTAAATCAGCCCTGTGATTGGTTGTAAGTTTCAATTAATTCAATTGTGACGCCACAGACATTTTTACATTTCAACGTTGCATGAAAATTGTCGTTTCACACGAATAAATACCACAAATCTTGATTATGTGATAAAAAGGATCTTACACTCGTTTTCATTTCATATGAAATGTATGAACCTCGTCACGGATTTTTCATTTTAGCTCGCCAGAGGCTCGCTTAATTGAAAAATTCGAAGACTTGTTTCATAAATCTCATGAAATGGATACTCATTTAAGATCCTGTATATATAAGGAGAAGAACCACTACTATCTATTAATGTGTGTCATTCATCGTTATCATATACTAATACGTTTCTACCGTAATTTTACTGATTTATATCAATACATTTTCTACCCAAAATAGGTGATTAGTGTTGTTGCATTGCCTGGATGCAATCGATGACAAATTCTGTCAACGTTCAATAAATTTAAAACACTATTGAAGGAAGTCTGTGGCCAGTGGATAAACGCAATCGGCTTTCGATTCCCGATCGGACGTGAAAAGGTATGGGGTCTGTCACCTGCCTGAGCACATGGGTTTTCTCCGGGTACTCCGGTTTCCTCCCACATTGAGACCGTTTGCGAGCTAAAAACTGGACAAAGAAGAGATGTAAATATAAGTTGAAA